GCTGATGTTGTAACCCACGTATTGTTATTAACGTTAGTATTATTATGGTATCAAATGTATTTTCTACTGACAATGAGTCACTTTAAGATACGCTTAAGATACGCTTTTATCATAATTTCAAGCCATAAATTGCGTTTATAATAAATACTTTAAAGTCCATTATCACCTGCAATTACATTTCAAGGAGTTTGATGACGTATAGGACCGAGGAGCTATCACAAGTTTTTCTGAAAATTACCGTAAACGTCGGTGATTCGTATATTACAAGTATTTAAATGATAAAAATATACTTATTTTCCATATATTCTACATTATCTTCTTTCGTTATGTATAATGCGAAAACATTTGTGGCCCTTGATTACTTGCACTTTAATTTTAAGGTATATTGCTTTAAAATGTATATAATACTTGCGATACACAAAATTGTGAGCAAGCGAAAAATATCATTGCTGTTATGAAATAAATTCTTGTAAATTATTAAAGTCTCAAGCGAGGAATATATTAAATTCTATAAAAATATGTACACACAAAATCGGTTAATTCAAAAAAACAAATTTAAATAAATATATTTTGTCTTATAAGTTTGTCGCGAATTTATTTAATTGAATTTAAATTATCTATAAGCGAGATCTTATTCAGAAAAGAAACGTTTGCTCGCTTAACTGGATGTGGCTGACTTAACTAATCAAATTCTTTCACGTTGTCGTCCTCTGAAGGTATAATTAAGACATAAATCCCGAGTATTGCAACTGACCGTCGCGGTGCTATACGTTACGAAAGAAAGAGAGAGAACGAAATTGGTAGCGGAAAGTCGCTGCGAGAGGGGTCGATTAAATTCGCATTACGCTCGCCCCTCGCGGAGAAACGTAGAGAGTACAAAGTGGCTGGAGCGAGTTCCTCGAGCATTCGAGGGTGCTGTCGCTCCCTTTCTCGGTAGCTCCCTAACCCACGACGACGAGCGGCTTGTTCTCTTAGCCGCTAATTAGCGCGGGACACGCACGCCCCTAACCCACGACGAACCCGTGTCGGGCACGTGGCGTGCCGGAAACTCGCTTAGCGCGCGACAAACAGACCGTTTCCCATCGTGCATGCGCTCCTTCCGGCTGGGTTTCCACACGAGAAAACGTGGCCGAAGCAGCTGATTAAATCGCCATTAAAACGTGTCCCTATCGCTCCCGATCGCCGCTTTCTTTCATGTCCCGCTTTTGCGACCGCGGGACGGTCGCAAGAAAAACGGTCGGACCCGCAATTTACACCGGAGGGAGGGGATCGGATCACACGTTATTCGATACACGCTGGGATTCAATTTGCGGACTTAATGTGTAGACCGGTCGCCGAAATGTTTTCGGTTAATTACTTTTTCATCGAGATTACTGTTTTAGTGGGACATTTAATCGTGCTTGCAACAACACGAGCGTGTGGCATCATACAAATTGATTAATTACATTTTTTATTTTCATGTATCTTCTTACAGAAGAAGAAATCTTTTGAGAAAGCTCTTAAATTATCATTTTATTGACTAAAATATTCTGTTACATCTATGCAATTTCAAAATGTACACTAGAATATTATTTCTTACTTTCCTCTAGTAAGTTAGCAGACATGAAATCAAACGCATAGAACGCGAAACAGAATACGCTGCATTTCATGAATATTTCAAAGCGCTAGGTAATCATTTTAACAACAAATCCACGTTTCTTCGTAAAAAAGTTATTGTTAGAATGCGAGTAGTTATTTTCCTTTCTCGAGAAATTACCGATAATAAGCCGCAGTGAGTTGTGGAAAAATCATGCTGCGATTGTGGCCGTTTGTTAGGTACACTCGGTATCGAAGTATGGCGCGGGTATATGCAATACAATCATTTTTTATGTACGCTATACAAATATCTTTCTCGTCTGAAAATTATCTCTCAATATGACAACAAATCGCCGTTCGAAAATCACCCTTAATATCGCGAACATCTCGTCAAATATTAATCATTTTGGAGATTTATATCGCGTTCGAAAAATAATTAAAGATCAAATTCCACTAAATATCTAGTTTTAGGTAATTATGTTAATTTCTTTTTGCTTTACTGATTTTTATATATGCCATGAAATTATATGATATAATATTTAATACACCTATATATTTTACTTATCAAAATTGTGCCAGATTAGAGTCAAGCTCAACAGGGTCTTCTTTCCCCGCTAATTTTTCCAAGCCCGTTCCCTTGGCAGTGGTTTCGCTAGATAGTAGATAGGGACAGTGGGAATCTCGTTAATCCATTCATGCGCGTCACTAATTAAATCTTTTAGAGCCTATTAATAGATAAATCATATTATTATTAAATTATTATGATAATTAATTGTTAAGTTTTACTTTATAAGTAATAGTAAAAATGTATATGTAAGAAAAATATTTAGAGATTTTAAAATACTTTTACAAAATACAACAACGATTTTGCGATAATCGTGATAATTCTTAATAAATTTCACTATTCGTTATACAGCGGGCTAATTTTGTGCTTCAGGCGATTCTACATGACGAAAGAAAGAAAAATAACCGTCCGCGTGTGCGTGACGAGACACGATTTCCATACGAAACAGCCTGATGATCCGCCGATATATTTATTGCGGGCAATATGCGCGTGTTCACGTATGGGTCTGCCGCGACACACAAACCTCGAATGAATCAAATCCCGAAGCTAATCTGATTGCATGCCAATCCATTTTTTTCCCCGGCTTCTATTGTAAAAGAGGATAATTGTCCTATCCGCCGCTGAGCGAACGAAATGGCGAAGAGAGCGCGGTTTTGATGACAGCGCATTTTGCGTATAAGCTAGATTTTAGCAAGTGATTTGCCCCTTATCATTTGTCCGCGGAGCAGCGTTTTGTACGTCGCGAATTAAATGGCAATGTTGAAGTTTAACGACGCGCTAATGGTCTAACTTCGCGCGGGGGGCAGGGGGGCCAGGGGTGAGGTACAAACATTGTAAGAACACATCGATTTATCTTCGGGACATATTGTCATCCTTTTTATTCGCTTATTGCAAGGAACATTGCTGGGGAAGATCTTTGAAGATTCCGTTTGAGATCTCTCGTTGAATACGAATAAGGGGATATTTATATCGAAAATTAGATTTATACGCTGTCTCTCCTCTATTTCCCCTTTCTGTCTAAAGTATACGCGATATGGTGACGCGATATCGATTCCCGGTGCGGTGTCGCGTATATGCTCTCTGCGTGATTCTTTCATATGCAAAAAAAGGGTCAGTCGCGTAGAGACGTGGGTGCGACATTCGCGGGGACACCCCTATTGAGGATGCGTCGTGGGTCGCACACATTTTTAAACGCGTGTGCGTCCGTTATTATAGGTGCGGTTGCGCGAGTCCGTTGTCCCCCTTCGTTTTTCGTCGTCGCGCTTGATCGAACGGATGCGCGTTGCAACGCAATCTCATTTGCGCGATAACGCGCATCAAGCAAATGCGACTTTTTGCAAGTGCTCCCTCTGCAAATAGCGTACGAGGTGTATTACGCTTAATGGATTGAATTGCAGCAACGACGTCTTAAGATCTTAATTAATTTGTTTTAATTTGCGCGCGACGGAACCGTTTAATTCACAGGCGTTTTAATTCGTTAAAATATTTATAAGATATTCCTTGTAATATATAATAACCGCAATTTACGTATCGTTTATTTATAAAAAAATTGTCACTTGTAAATATACGAACGAATTCAACTCTATCAGAGTTCAGTCAACTTTCTTATACTTCACGAAATTATGACATTATAATTACTTTTCTCGCGTTGTTTTTTGATAAATGCACTTTGCGTATAGAATCAGGATGTGTTTACTTTTTCAATAAACCTCATTTGTTACTTCTCAGAAATTGGAGAATAGATTCTTTTAATTCTCGTTCCATGACCTGCGCGACTTATATATGATCGAACATTTCGCCGATCACAAGACACCAATGTTCTGAATAATGTACAAAGTGGTCTACGGTGGCAACAAGGCAGTCCTCATAAATAATTCGGAAACCACCCGCCGAGGACTCGATCGCACGTCTTTTATTCCAAGTACCGCGCGGAATATTATGCATTTCGAGATGCGCGATAAAATATGAAAGAATAATGGATATTTTTCTGCAATTCAAGATAAAAATGACAACTAGGATTTCAAGGATCGAGTACAGCTAATACACAATTACTGTAATATTCAAATTGATATTCACTTCGTTTACACACTTTGTTTTAAGTATTTGCTTGAGAGATTAATATGTTATCATGGAGCATCTAAAGAATATAATATTAGCTATTAATTATTTTACTAGTTTAGTAGTAGAGAGAGAGAGAAAAAAAGAAATAAAGTTGTCACGGTGTCCTGCTATTGAAACTATTTTTAACTGCTCGCTTTGCGTCTTCCGTTTGGATGTAGAGACTATAAGGACAGAAGCTCGTTAATGCCAGCAATTGTAGCTATCGATCGGCGATATGTAGCAGCAACATTTGATCGAAGACCGCGGAGAAAGAAGAAGTTTAAGGGAGAACACGCGACAAGCTGTAATTCCGAGGACAAAAGTTGGGCTATACGAGTATAGTCCGCAGCGCAAAAATTAGATATACAAAGTAGAGGCTTGTTACTGACAATCGCAATTATCGATGCTCACGCAATGCCCCCTCGTATATGCCCCGAAACTTTGTCATATGGTTCCCCCGTATTGTCTGGTTAACGCATTATAATCTCTCTTTAGAAAAGTCTGTAAGGTGACGAGACAAAGAGATCAATGCAGCACATTGTATTTCCGAGAATCTTTATATTATCAAGCTAGGACATTAGTGAAAGATGTATGAAAATAACTTTTTTTATGAATCTCCGTTTGTACTTTGTGCTTGAAATTATTTGCATATAATGTTATTCTAATTTTTTCCGCAACTCATCGTGATCGAGAATTAGTTACGCAATCTCGTTAACATGTTAGAAATTGAAACGCGGTAAATTGGATTGCTGACACTCACCGGTGTGGATGTAGGTGTGCTTCTTCATGTCCGACTTCTGGTGAAACCTCTTGCCACAATATTGACAGGGATAAGGCCTCGTGTCGGAGTGGATCAGCAGGTGAGTGCTGAGCGTGCTTGACCGTTTGAAGGCCTTACCGCATTGCTTACACTATTGTAACAAACAAAGAAATTGGTTTACCTTGGTGCTACGTCTGTTTAGCGAAGCTATCTAATTATCTTTGCAAATATTGTACATACAAATACATTTCTTGAAACTCGGTTATTTTTTATTGTGCCTTTAATCAAACGAGGCAGAGAAAGAGTTTATTTCTTGGTCCCATATAATAACGGCTATAATAATAATTAATAATATTCTGACATACGCGTCAGAAATTTGAAGATATAATTTTACTGATTTCAATAATGCGAAATCATTCTGCCGTTAATAGGAATTTCCGTTGCCGAGACAAATCACCATCGTCCAACTGTTAAACCGTTAAGTAGCTAATTTATCAATTTCTCCTGGACAGTTCGTGTTTCCGCACGCGATATTGATTGCATCCCTCTCAAGAAAATTCTTTCCGCGATTCTACACGCTTCCCAATCTCGTGGAAATCTGTCCCGTGTTATATATCATATTATATATATCATATTACATATTAATAATGTTCATTCAAAATCTATTAATGAGATCATTTCGAGTAACTCCACGAATTTACTACGATCTATCCATTTATCAATTGCAATAAAAATATCTGAAAATGTTTGCGTTGCATTATAATAACGATATAATAATAAATGAACTCGCCGGAGCTTATTTGTTTTTTCAAATTCTCGTTCGAGAAACTTATCTCTTCCTATTTACGACAATTATTATAATTTCCGTAAAACGTACCGCATTTTTCCCGGCGCGATTTGCCAACGCCGTAAAGTCTTTCTCTTGCTTTTCAACCGCGGACGCGGTTAGGAAAGGGAATAAAAGCGAACAACGCGGAGGGAGATAGAAGACGGCACCGCTCCTGGGCGCCGGGACGCCAGGCACACCTGTGTTCACGAAGCGTCGCGTTACTTCTTTCCTTCTCTCACTTTCTCTATCACTCCTCTAGCTCATTGTCACACGGGCGCCAGTCGTCACAATGCCCCGACGACGCGCGACGGTGCGGTTCGATGCGTGTCCAGGCTGACAATTTATACGGGGTATGAATATGCCAACCGCGGAATATTATTGCGCGCGCGAGTACGCATGATTCACGTCGCGTCGCGATCAATATATACGGAAGAGCGACCTGTCTTCACGCGACATTCAACTTCTTCGCGATGATATCGCGCCGCGCGCGAATCTTAATCCTCGCCGTTCAGAATTGACAGAGTCCAAGGTACCGGTAGTGATCGGTAGATAAATGATTGCTGGCTGAGATCGTGATTACTAAAATATTGTGGTTGCTCTTCTGAGAGATAGTGACAACTTGCGAAACGTAACCAAATTAAAAAATTATTTGAACATATTACTTGCGTGTAAATAAGGTACTCAAGAAAGGATCATTTTCCATGCTAAATTCTGCTCAAAATTGCAGATTGCATATTTGGATACGACGAAATCTATATTTACATCTTATACATTCAAGATTTTAAACAACATAACGAGATCTTGTCCGTTTTTTATCTCTCAAGACGAGGAAGGTATTCCGGTCAATGTACTACGTACAATAAAGAAGGACAGAGCAACGTATTCAGAACTCTGCCACTTAACTGTAATTAAAGCAAGATGGTCACGTCGCCGGTGTACCGATCGCGACAATGGAGACTCCCACGCACAACAATTGTCACCCTTAATTGCTCCTGTCGTCCACCTGTGGCAAAATGGGGAGTTCTCGGAGCGGTCAACGGTGAGACACCGTCATCCCGTTCGCGGATACGAGGGAAAGGAAAGGAAAGCGGCGCGGCGCCTTAGTGGGAGGGTTTTCGTTAATAAGCACCGCCGGAACGCCCGTGTGTCGAGAGATCGTGAAGGAAACGACGGATTGTGGGAAGGAAGGATGGATGAGGCGAGGCAGCCTCGCCATTGTCGCCGCACGAAAGCGTCTGCTTCCGGTACGGTTCGGAAACAAAGCCGAGAAAGAGATAGAGGGGAGAGAAAGAGAGAGAGAGTGTCCGTGCCTACGTTCTTGCTCTCTTGGCCGCCTTCCATCAGTTTCTGCGCTCCTCGCGATTCGCGGCTCCTCGAAATCGTGTAATTACCGTTAATCTCTTACGACGCTTTTTGTACGCGGCCCGAAACATCTGTCGCTCGTCGGCGAAGGCGCGAATTAAATATAAAGAAGACTGCGGCTTTCCCACGAATGGCTTACCTAAATGTCGCCCATGAATCATCGCGGTATCGCGAATGCCGATTATCGCGACAGGTAAGTTACGCGTTGCTTAAGCTATTTTCTCAAGTTTAAGCTTAAGCCTCACGAAACCTAGAAGAATCTAGGAGAACCGATTAGGAAGATTGTAATCTGTCATTTGGTTAGGGAATCCCGGACGCGTTTAGAGAAACTCGTGATTCTAATTTATTAAAAATCATAGAATTTTGACTTTATAAAAAAATGAGATATTGCATTTGTGATTAAAATGAAAGGACGTTATGTCCATCAAAAGAGAAGCAAAATCCCTTTAGTTTCGCCTGAAAGCGGATATTAATAAAGATCACAACGTTGACCTACTAAACAGTCTTTACACTTATATTATGTTATAAAGAGATTTAAGTACGTTGGAAAAGACTTTGCTGATATTAAAAGTAAAATCGTAATAGAAATCTAAAATGTGAAGCATGAATCAGTAATAGAACGATTTATCGTAATTGTTTCTACTAATAGCTATATAACATCGATGTAATTACAGTAGGTATACATTTATGGAGTAAGAAAAATATAATTCTAAAACATTTGGGAATTCAATTATCTTAATACTTCAGGGCTAATAGTCTGTTCTAAATCTAGGCTGAAATAATGACTGAACAGACTAAAAGGCTGAGCAATATCAAGAATTTAATATCAATTTCACATCATAACGTATATACATACGTATATATACATGTGTGCGGCCCACATATTCTAATATGTCGAGTTACGTGTCGTGGACGTAAAACCACGGCGAGGCGAGTTTCTCTACTTCCACTCAATCACACGTAATTGAGGCGGCGCGGGTCTTTTGTCGAGGTCCATGTACTCGTCAAAAACGTTTGACCCGTTTCCTCGCCCCGACGCACTTAAGGGTATTTGCGCGCCCCGCAAGAAATTCATATCGCGTGACTCCTCGAACGCCGAAGCCCGATTTTTTCTTTCTCCGAACGGAACGGAGATCGACCGGTTTTACGCTCTCGGTATGTAGGCACGCGTAAAACCCCGGTCGCGTACTCTCCGTGCGTACCAAAAGGAAACATTCGCGCCGCGATAAAGTCAAAGATGGACCGAGCGCGACCCGTTCGACAACTTGTCCGTCCGGATTGCTTCGTTATGTTAATTAAACCGTGCCTATGTTGTAACAGATGCGTGATGGCTCCGATGATGATGTTTTATTTAATTAAACTTAAGCATTTGACGGCGTTTCTTTTAAAACAGCTGGAAAGTCATTATGACTTCTCTTATAACGATCTATTAGAATTTATTTAACTTCTTTAGTTGCCTGGTGGAATACGCATCGTTTATATTTGCTTCATGAAATATTACTGTAATTACTGTATAGCATTGGTTAAATCGATTATCGAACAAAACTGCTAATTATTGAATTACCTATAAAAATTAAAAGTGTTGCTGAAAATCGTACATAACTGTTACTTAGAAAATAAGTAAGTTGCGTAAGTTTGCCTAGATTGATATTTGCCTGAGCAAACCGTTTCTTCCTTTGTGATAAAAAACTTGGTAAATATGCATGACTGGAAGAGAGAAAAATATCGATTTTCAAGGAAATCAACGTGACCTGACCATCAGATTGGCGAGGAGCACTTTCCCGTGGCTCGTAAAAAAAAAACGGACACCAGCAAGCTCCACATATCGATCATCGGCGACCTTTTTCAAAAGCTGTCGCGTTCTGAGAAGCTGAGCTTCACGTAAACTATTAATCGGGCCGAGAATAATAATTTTGTCTTTGTTTATAGAAAAATTGCGTTTAAGTTAATTCATTTACGAAGCATTAATTGAAAATACGATGATTAAAAAAAATAGCCAATTCCGCTTAATTTCGTCTTAAATGTTTCTATTTAATCTTCTGATTAATTTTACACTCGCGTTATATTTTTTTAAATACTCATTGACGATATTTATTTTATTATAATCATTAATTATTAAAGAAAATTTAATCACAGTTTCTCATTTTACATTGAACTTATAACATTTTCTTGCAATTAGTACTTTATACATTACGTACATAAGATAAAAATTATGTTTAGAAACGTAATCAAACTCATTACTAGCGAGAGACAGAATTAATCCAAACAATCAACGGATAGCTTTTTCTCCTGTCAAATAAGCTATTAATATCAATGGGTTGATTATAGCTGTCAGTTAGAACGACTGTGCGGTTAGATTCTTGGAAATAGATAGGTCGCATCAAAGCTCTAAAACGAAGGGAAGAAACGAAGAAAAGAGCAGAGGGGAAGGTCGCTAAGATGGCACCAATTACCGCCGGCGATACGTTCTTTAGGGGTGCCGCGATCGGCCGGTTCGATCGATACCGAAGCCGCGCGCGTGGAAATCGAAGCTTCTTTACGAGCGCGAGACGCGATCGCCAATAAAAGCACGAGTCGAATGTTTGCCGACCTCGTAAAATCGGCAATCGTACGGGACACGCGCGCGCAACCACGCGGTCCACTTGCCACGATGGGTCGAATATCGTGGACGCAGTGGAGTCGAGATTTCCAGGACCGATATCAGTCGTCTTCCTCGAAAGCTTATCGGCCGCATTCCGCGGCAGCGGATTCGCAATGATTTCCCCGCGCGATTTACGCGGAGAACCGCGTCGTGAAAATCTTTCTTTACGACACGGCAGTATCGGTGTTTTCGACATCGCTCACGATTTTTAAATCAAGAAACTCCGATACTGTCTTTTCTATTTCTCCGAATCGATTGAGACGACGAAGTGTGACGCGAAATAAATTCTTCCCAAAACGCACTTTTTTTTCCAAGAGAGAATTATGTTGTATTGTTACAGATTATCATTAAAAATCATGATTGAGTACGCTCTTCGGAGTATTACTTCACCGAAATAACGAGTCATGCGCTTACGGAGAAAACAGCTTCGGCGGTTGGTATCCGGCGAAGCAGGATAAGGTGCGCGCGAGTGAGAATAAGGAGGTATAATACAGGAACACTCACTTGAAAAGTCCTTTCCGTCGAGGAGGGCGGTGTAAGCGGTGAATGATGAATTTGCCGCGTAATTATAGGGGTCGAGGACGGACTCCTGGAGGACGGTGCTCTCGTTTCTCTGGCCTCCCTCTCGCACACCGAGCCCGGCGACCAGATTTCACTTTTTCTGCTGCCGATACTCGACGAGACGTCGCTCGGCTTCGTGCTGAGGTTCAACGGCACTTCCTCCTCTGAAACGAGAAGTCACCCGTCTATTTCGTCACTCGAGCGCTCGCCAAATCGCTGCTAATCTCTCATTTTGAAAATTTTACGGCTATTTAATTAAACCGTATATAGAAATACGTCATAATACAAAATACAATACTTTACTTGTTATACATTAAAATAAACAAATATTTTATTCATGTAATATAATACAAAATGATAAAATTTTTCAAAGTGTAAATCCATATAAAATATATAAAGAATAATTTACACATACATTTAAAAATGGAAATAAAAAATCAATATATCAAGCATTTATCAAGAAATATTTCATCATAAATTTAATTGAACGTATTTATAACACGGAGAGCACAAAGAAACAAGAAACTTCAAATCGTCGCATCAAGATATCGAAAAAAAGTGATAATTTATGATCGATCATGTAACATCATCATTAAAGGCGGGGAAATTTTATAGTTTTTGCACACTATATATACATGTATGCGCAGATAGCAATTAATTGATCGTAATTAGTATCCGTGCAGCAAAGTCAAGCGGCGGCGATAAATGATGCCTCGTGTGACAACGTTGGTCGATCGATAGCACCCACTTACTGATAATTGCTCATTAACCGGTCTACTGTTCTAAAAGAAGCATGTTTCGAACGCTCTGAAAAAGGTTTATCCCGGGAAGCTGGCTGAAGACAACTTCACTAGAGTTACTCTTCTAAATCGTGATCTTTATCAATTTCGAAAATGCTCAATTATTTCACTAAAGTATTCGCGTTTTCGTCTCTACATTTATTAAACTTGTAGACATTGCACATAATTTAATCCAAAATACGATGCTTATAAATATATAAAGATGCCCAATTCAGCAACTGGACATTTTTTTATAATGCAATATAAAATAATGACAGATATTGGATTTTTTATGCAGATTGTTGGAAAAGAGCAATTATAATAATTAAGATTTAGGTTGTTTATAATATTCAACGTATTTATACTGTAACATATGTTGGATATTATAAATAACCTAAATTTTTACTTGTTCTTTTCCAACAATCTGCATATAAAAAAAATCCGATGACTAATAATGACAGGATTCATAATCAATGTTTTTGAAATAAATATCGACTAAATTATTATGCAAATTATTGTTCAGGATGCTAATTAAAAGTAACTTAACTAATATGTTCCGATAAATTTTGCATGATTTGGTGCTTTCTAAGTAACAATGTCGGTTCCTGGTAAGAGTTCCTTCTCTCACAATCTCTCAGTCGTAACATGATAAACATTTGCAGATTGGTTTAAGAGAGATTCAAGCAAATCTCACCGAACTTGGCCTTCTCCGGTGTGCATCTCCGGGGTGATCCGGGACGTGCCGGACTGAGAGGTTCCGAATGAATGGGCGAGCAATTCGTGACCGGTGTCGTCTGTTGGGACGGGATTCTCGTAGGCGGGAGCAAAGAATGTGGCAGCAGCAGGCCCATGTGACGGGCCCACCAGGCACCCCCAGACGCCCCATAGCCGCCGTACATAAGACCGCAACGCATGTCTGAGACAACAAAGGTAACCAGAGTTCAAAGTGTGGAATTTGGAAGTGTGATGATCTTCAAGTAACAGAGAATTTACAAAATGCTTATAAAGATTACGTCGCCGAGCGAATATTCTCATACACGTAAAGGAATAATTAACATATACATAAGAACACAAGGAACATTTAATAATATATAAGAATAATTAACTTAAGAAATATTATATAATCAAATATTTCTATTTGAAATATATCGCGCGGTTCAATTGACAATTATAGATTGATAAATACATTTAAGTTAGACGACATCAAAACTTTCTCCCTTATCCACGTCATCCACTCTTTCACGACTTACCTCGCGCGGCAACGCTAGCGCTGAGTGGTAGACTTTGCAGTCTCAGATCGGGATTGTAATTCGACACGAGGGTAAAGGCGCTGAAACGATCGGGGACGGGTTGACAAAGGCCCGAAGGTGCATTGGTGGTGGAGGCGATGGTGCTCGAACTGCTTCCCGGTACACCTGGGCTCCAAGGCGAGGATGGTAGCGTGATTATGCTGGGGCTGCCGGGTGGCGAGAGGGTGGCCGGGGGTGACAAGGCGCCCGCCGGAACTCCCACGGGATTGCAATGAAGTTCCGGTTTCATGTGCCAAGTTCGAGGTACCGCTTCTATTACGAGAGAGAGCAAATACTTGGCTTATTATTTCGCACTGCACCACGCACGAACGCAAAATGTGCATATAGCATATAAATTTCGAAATTGCGATGATTACACCGTGTTATTATCGATGAGCTCTTTTTGAAGTACGTACTTAAAACGCAATAAACATATGTCTGCTGTGTGTGTGTGTGTGTGTGTGTGTGTGTGTGTGTGTGTGTGTGTGTGTGTGTGTGTGTGTGTGTGTGTGTGTGTGTGTGTGTGTGTGTGTGTGTGTGTGTGTAGCTAAAACTCCATGTCAGATAAATTGACTCTTATCAATTACGCACGTGCTAAAGTTGCAAAATACTATTTTCTAAAGGTTATTAAAACTAATGGCATTTAATTAAGGCAATTGAAAAACTTTTATGTAATAACAAAAATGGCTTGCAGAATTTTTACTTAATGAATATCATTCGTTTGATATAAATGAAATTTCTTGGTGACTTTTGTGAATCTTCAGACAGTAAATATCATGAATATATATATATATATATATATAAATATTAAATATTTGGACCAGAACTACATGGATAAAGACGAAAATATTTAAAACAGAGGACGTTAAAGTAAAATAGGTATACTCTTTATTTGTTTTGAAGAATCTTTTACAGATTATATCTAACATGATTTTAATTTCTAAAATGTTTTTAAGAAATTTGATAGATATCTTAGATGTTTAGTATTATTTTAACATTTTCTAATAAATATTCCTAACTGTTTAGGTATATTATCTTTCTTCATATTGTCTACTTTCAATTCATTCTCTATTTCTACGTGGTTTAATATCTCGAATATGATAATAAAACCTCTATGGAATAAAGGAACTACAGAAATTCACGTTAAGTGTGAGTTATATATGTATTTCGCGTAAAAACATGCGTAGAGGCTGCATTCCACAAACGCGTTCATTACGTACACGAAACATATACGTTAACAGAGAAATGAATAATACATGGAGCCTTGAAGCGGATTCTTTCGCGATGCATAAAATCTGGTGATGCTGATCGCGATCGAAATCTTTTCGATCGCGCAAGCGAAGAATGATTGCGGTCCAAAATCACGGCTTAATCGAACGTGTTGATCGGAAAAATTATAAAGTGAAAGTGTTGCCCCGCATAACACGCGTATCTTCCAAATTTGTTTTGCAAACACATGGTAAAATGTAAGCCGTAAACGCAGATTATGCTTTTATTTGCATTAATTGTAATAAAATATTTTATGCGCAATCACCGAAGTATTTATAGAATTATTCTGCGAACTGGGATACCAATAATTTATCATTTTCTATAAAGTAGCATTATAAATAAATATTAAGAATCTCAAATAAGAAATTATCACAATTCTCTAATTACATGTTTTTTTCATATATATAGTTACACGCAACTTGAAGATTTTTTATTCATGTCGATTTGAAAATTAATTGTGCAATTTAAACGTTACCGTAGTAATTAATCGCGATATACGTCCGCCACATCAGGATCCGACAAATCATATTTATCGCAGGAAGTATAACTAATCGGAGATTGTATGTAGGTACTGCGATACAAAACGTCGAGTTTTCCCCTTGAATTATATGCTCGTTGCACTCCACAATCTCGTCCGTTCGATAATAGAGAATTAGGAATGCCGGTGATTATGAGCTCCATATTCATAACAATCGTCCGGCCCCGCTAAGAGAGTTATTTAAAAACCGTTGCTGGCTTCCATATCGCACGATCTCGCGCGCCGATGAATATACGGAATAATTATGCTCGCCGCGTTTAACGCGAGCATGTCGGCGTTTAATGCATTGTCGGCGACGATCTCGCCGTCGTTTTAACGCGTATCAGATTCGTCGGCGGAATAAAGAAGGAAAGAAAAAAAGAATTTGCGCGCGAAAGGGCGGACGCGCGAGCGCGGGAAAGAAATCACGAACGCGCGGCCGGCGAAATGAATTATAAATCGTGCGTGCGCGACTCGCGGCCGAGTATCGCGTATCGGACGGACGTATCGAGACGACGAGATCCTAATCGCGCGAGGTCGGACAGATGTGATTGCTCGACGCAGATCTCTGCGACGAGTCGCGCGATAAAGTGTCCCGGCCGCGCCGTCCGACGCAAACTTGACGGGGCAGGCTCTCAAAAGCGAGCGCGCCGACTGCCGATCAGTTTTCGCGTAGCGATAATCAGTGGCAATGAAATAAATATATTTTGCGCGCACAGGTTGTTCTCCGTCATGCAATACGTGTTCTGTACTGATTTCTCAAGCTGTCATGAAATTCTACCGATCGGCGCAGTCAAGGAGAAAACTTTAATCGGCCACGGCGTCGATCATTTTCGTGTGTGCCACGCATTCTTTAGAAAAATTACGTAATACAATTATATAATTTTCATACATGTAATAGCGCGTTTCGAGATTATGGTCAACAATCTGTAATTTTTTGAATTTTTATAAAACACGTGGTTTTCCTTATAACATATTTCAAACAAACATACATGTAATTTTGTAGTGTATAAAATCTTGTCAAGAAATTAAAAAATTGTTCTAATTAAAATGTGTTCTAATTCACGTAAGTTGATTGGAGGAGATATTTTTTAACGAGCCGCAAACAAACGAATAATTAACAAGCATCGAGCACGATGCGAGTGCAGTTTTTCGCTGGCGCGGCGCGCGGGGGTGACTTGTAAGCACACGCGAGTGTGCGAGTGGAAATAGAAATAGCCGTTTTGCGTGAAACGACGATGTGTCGGGAAGCCAGGTGATAACCCACGAAGTAAATCACTGGCTCGAAGGTCCCACCGTGTGCGATAAGGATCGCGTCTGGACATAAACTACGACTAATAACCGCTACTCGTTGTTTGAATAAATCTGTAATGCATTCGTACGAGCTGCATTCCTACATAATTCATGCGCGGACGCATCGGTAGCGAGAATTTGTTACTCGTTTCCATAGATAACGGTGCACGATGTAGTGTATATACGCTGCCAATCGCCTGCTTATTCCGAATTTCAGTTACACTGTTCCTCGGTTTTAGACGAGCGAATTGAAAAGGGAAACGAGCGCATTACAATTCGTCCGACAAAGTTGCAAAAAAAAAAAAGAAAAACAAAAGCGTACCGCTGATAAGAGGCACGTAATTTTCCGTGCCAGATAACTTAAATAATAATTCAGCAGGAAAAAGAAGAAACGGAAGAGAGATGGATCGAACGTATCGATCTTCGTCTCGAGTCTAATGAGTTGTGATGAAAATGGCTGCATTTCGATATTCTTTGTCAGTACTGAAAATCTATATATTTTTCTATATTTTACGTCACGTATATTACAGATTTTCAGAACTGACAGTGTCTACGTATGAGATTAGGGCGCGAGAAATGGTTTGGTTTCCAAGATAAAATATGCATGGAAATATGTTACAGAAATTTCGCTCGTTAAACCATCAGTGACGGAAAAGGAAAGCAGTAAAGAGAGCCACGATTTTGACGCGGGACATTCTCGTGTTGAAATTCGAGGTCTCGATATTAGATGGACACGTATTTAGACAGGTGAGGCCAATTCAACGATATATCACGCTGCACTTCTGCGTTGTTATCATCCATGCATCATGTCACCCACAGAATAAAAAAACCGCGTACTGTTTGTATGAGAATAAATCATGAGCGTCGCAAACCTGATTTCCTGCTATCTTTTCAATTTTGCGCGACGACAAGGAATAAGCTACGAATAATACCAAACAGAAATGTCGAAAACATTATGTGTTCGCGAGAAATACAATATGTAAATAACATTATAATGTACATTATATAATAAAATATACTGACATAATGTATATTTTAGCAAAGTTAAAAATGTATTTATATAGAATTTACTGCGTTCACTATTGCGCTTAATTATTATCGATCGGATAGAACAAATAAAGAAACAAAGCATAGGTGAATTCATAGAAAATACATTCTATCGGAGATTGTTTCGAGTGTGTTAGCGTTGAATCATCGTCAAACTCGCGCGAATACTATTTACATCTTTAACAGCGAATGCTAATCCATGTTTTAGCAATCTTCAGTACAAATTTAAGACGTATAACAAATTTAAGACAGACGGATAGCAAACTGCAGAGAGACGTATGCGATAATCGGTGCAATGAAAAAAATCTTCGATTAATGATAAAGATTGATTGATTCAGCGCGTGGCCACCTGTGAAAATACATATCTGTCATTTTAACAGATTCGAGGTACGTTAAGTGCGTCATTTCTTAATTTCACACTTGAGGCTCGACACGTTTCACAGCCACACGAAATGAATTCCGAGTCAGTGAGTCGTTCGTGTTCTCATCGTCGAAATTAATAGCGCGGCCAGATGGAACTCTTTTAATTACCGATTAATCACTCGTGACTCACGCGGTGTTCCCGTGAACGGAAAACGTTTCCAATTCATACGAATTTCGGAATTGGGCAAAATTTCCCTTTATGGACAACGGTGATTACGTTACATTGGCGAAAATTTCCGATCGTGTTTTTGGTAAATTTCTATCTAACGGCAGCGTGTACATATCGCTCTATATATGAAATCCAAATGACAGACAATGAGAAGACATCTGTCAATTAACGAATCGATTAATTGATGATAAACGGGGCTCTATAGGCCTCGTAAACGGCTAATCGTTTGCTCGTTAATTACGAAAGTAACTCCCACCGCAACGACTCATCGTCAAATCTCAAAAAACAATCATGAATATTTACGCGATGCCTTGATTAAGCTGGTGTGAACAAGTGTCAGATGTTCTTCTCGCCTGAGTATCTTTAAGACGGATTTTTGGACTTACAAGCTGTCATTTTCGAACGGAGATTAAAATAAGCATTTAATTTTTTATTTCAAAGACAAATGTTATAGTTTTTTTATACAGGACAGTGATATGTATTATATATAATAATACAATATTTAATATACATTTTTAACGGATTTAATAAATCCATTAAAAATAAAATTTTTTAAAATAATTTACTCATTATAAAATAATCCAAAAGTAACAATTTCTCGAAAATTTCATTATAAGATGAATTATCCTATTAAATGCGAACAATTATCATAAATAAAAAATTTGCACTTAATAGAAAAGACTAAAAAACGAGAATATAGAATACGACACATCTATTAAAGAATAAAGTTTACTTGTGATATTTTATTGAAGAAAGCTATTTCTTATATTTCGTGCAAGAGCATAATAATTAGGATAGTCCAACAATGCACCATGTAAATTTCAGAGGCTTATATCTCTTTCAATTATTGAGTTGGAGATCTGGGTTTTTGCATACAGTTCATGAATTTAGTTGGCTACATACTGTATAAGATGAGTCATAAGTTATTTTTAAAATTTAGCCACAATTTCGATTTTTTAAAACAATGTCAAATGGTTCATTGTGTACAGGAGCGTGTACACAATAAACCTAGCCATTTTTAACAATGAATCATGTTTTATATTGTGAATTGTTAGTGTTATTTTAGTTGTACTATGTTCTAAAATGTTTATTTAGGGAAGAGATTGCATTACATTTTTCAACGCAGTAGAGAGTTGCATGCCAGTCATCGTACTTTATGCAAGCGAGCAAATTGCGACGATGTTTTGGAAATTTACACGTGTTCCTAACATTATATTTGCATTCATGATGTGTTTAAAATACTCGCAATTCTAATGCCTCGTGCTTCGGTTATCATCGGCTTATCCGCAGTACTTTTTCGCTTTTGCGATTACGATAATATACGCGCGGTGCTAAAATCTCTCATTTGTTTAAGAAGCCGTGCGCTTCACAAAGGTGTACCTTCATATAAACATTATTTGCATTCTATTAGATCCGAGATTAAATCTAATCGTTTGTAGAGGTAGAAACACGTGGAATAAATACGTTTATTTTTAGATATGCAAAATATCGACTTAACAAAATAGTCAGAGGTAAATGAATGATATGCTTTAAAATAAGTTCAAAATTCAAGAATGTAGAATTTTTGCGTTATGAATAAAAAGAAGACAAATTTGAATAAATTTCCATTAACAATAAGACATAGATAAATGACAAAATTTTAATTTTAAAAAGAACAATGTATTTTATATGTCTACGATCGTAGAATGAATCAGCTGAAATTTACATCTAAAATTATGAAATTGTGAACGATGAAACAAAAATGAGAAGTTCATTCCGCTTATTAGAGTAGATTGCGCAAACATTCTGTGTGTTTTTTTTTTTTTTACAGAAGAATCTCGGAATTTCATCAAGATTGAAAAAGCTGTACATTTCGGGATAAAACTGCAAATGTGTAATTTGGCGGCGGAAATTTGCTAAAAAAATGTGACGAGATCTTGGCGCTTTTTGAATATTTAAATCACTCATAAAACACAGATAAATAGTATAATCGATAAGCTATAATCTCGACGTTCGAAAATTTTTCAAGTAATTGGTTGTAATTTTGTTTACATGTGAATTAAAACAACCCCGAGCGGATTTCAAATGTACTCTTATTAACGATTGTTATTAACAAGTTAATCATTATTAACAATTAACCATTTACTACCATTACGACAAGTGAATTATAACAAATATTTTTGTGTCACGAAAAAAATGCGATAAACTCGCAAATGTACCTGTTTAAAATACACGTGGTTTGCGTTTTAAAATGTTAGATGCCAAAATAATCGCGGAATACGTTCAAGGGGTTGACGAGGACGAAAGCGATCAACACGAAGACTTACTTTGTAACGTTTAATTGTAAGACACGATGATAAAGATCAGGTGCGGATCGGCGGAAAAAAACACAAGTGACTACTCTTGATAAGAGTTGCGATTGACGTCGTGGAAAGTTACAAGGGAGGTCAAAACTTTAAATCAGCTTTAAATCGTGTCATCGTCATGTTAAAAATCAGTTCGTGTCACTTCGATCGACAGGATCGTCGATTATTAATAGCGTGCATATGGCACATTCCCATACAACTCATTATTATACTCGTGTTCGCTTATGTTTCCTATAACTAATAGATTCAAGATTCAATATACTATATAGTTTCTGATGCACAATGTAATCTTTTTCTTAAAAAGTTATGTGTGCTTATACATAAATTTTATATAAAATTATAAAACGCACAAACAAATCAAATTTTGATATTTTATAGCAAGTTTTATTCTTTTATCAGTAATTATCTATAATTTAATTCTTCTTTTTTTGTGTATAACAATTGAGAGCTTGTATCACAAATTTTAAAAATTTCTCTCACCAATCGATCCCATGTTGTTCTATGTAACGGTACAAGCTTGACGCGTAGAATGAAATACATATAACTCTCGGCAAGTGCGTGATATACGTGTAAACTTGTTGCGATCGGCAAAGTTTACCGTATAGTTAAGAGTCGGGTGTCACGTGTTGTCGCGGTGATTAGTGTCGCGGTAGATAGATTATATTAACGTGTATCGAAAGATATTAACTGAATCTTGTACTCACCACACATCACGTTCAGGTGTTGCAGGCGATGCTAGAACGATGTGCTAAAATTGTATGCCGCTCATGGAACCGCGCACTATCCCGATCACGGTCTCCGCGCGCACTGTGCCTGCCAGATTCAGAGTTCGGCGCGCGCGAATCACACAGAATTTCTTCGGCAAACGTCAAACCACCGGGCACACGTTGCCGCCTTTTCGCACAGATACTTTCGCGGAAACACGCGATCTTGGTCGCTCGTTCAAACGCGCGAGTTCAAAAGTGTTTTCTCGAACGACCTTGCAACTGGTTCCGTTCACCATTCACCGACCGGTCGGTCGAAGTCTCTTTCCGGAAGTCACGATTCATCAAGGTCGATCGCGACGAGGACGCGAATCATCGTTTAAACCAATCCTCCTCTTCAATACTTAGAGTCGCTTCAGTCTTGGATCTCGAAGAGCCATGAACCGCGAGATATTTTAAATCCCTTGACAAAACCTTGACATCAGCCGCTTGACTTCCTCCTACTCCGTTTTCTGTTTCCTTGACAATTAGCGGACTGCTACGGTGTGTGTCGCCGAGAGCAGCCAGTAGGTACTAGTACTACAGGTAACTTGTTGTCTGAACGTCAGTTCAGTCCGTGCGAAGAAGAAGAAGAAATAGAAGAAGAAATTCTCACTCTTCCCTCTCGGAGTGTCCTGACTCAGAGCAGGACCCCGACTGACCCCGCGGTGTGGCCGAGGAGGGCACGCACGGTCTCTCGCGTATGAGGACGAGCGTGTGTCGGCCTGCCCGTGGCTTCCCCTTACCTGGTCTGCCTCACCACGCTCAGGTTTCGCTCTTCTCTCACCTGCGCGTCGGTCTCGTGTGCCTACCTGGAAGCCCCGCCTACCATCGCTCGCTCGTGGTGCGGAGTACGCCGGCGTTCGACGTGGTGGGAAACGAGGAGAGACGAGTACGCGCGCGTCTTCCTTCCCTTCCCCCTTCATCCCCTTGTCTGTCCCCGCGGAAATCGCTGGTAGCACGATAGAGAAACGTGTGGTCTTCACGACATCGAACCCCCACCACTGCCCTTATAGACAGAGAGTACGCGGGAGATGCGTTCTATTGTAAGCGTATCGCACCAACGGGTGGGCGGTTTCCACCTCGCTGTAGCCGCAGCGGGAAAAGGAATCGCGAGATGCAGGTGTTCGATGCCGTATCAGTGTTCCGTTTCGAGACGAAAGTCTCGATAGCGGATTAATTGCCGCGCGGAGGGCGACTAGAATTAACGCATCTGCGTGGACGTGACGGACGCGTTGTCCCCCCGGTTGAAACGACCGGCCCGGCCGTCGTTTCGCACGACACGCGCCGTGGATCGTTGATCGGTTAATTAACGGTTCCGCGACTCCCCGCGCATGAGAAACGACCAAGCGGCGTTGAGTGTTCTTAAATTCAAGTTGCACTTGCCCTGTTTTGCAATTAAAATTTTTGGTTCGCGTGTCCGCTTGGCGCTTACGGCGATAGCACGTGACAGATTCTCGGCTGCAGCATCTTACAATTAGCTCCGCATAAGAGATTAACTTTGTACAATATCTTTATCGCGCATCTCGATCGCGATGATCTGATCAATCGCGATTAGAATCCCACAGAGATCATTCGGATTGTTAAATCATTTCGAAATAATTATTATGAAATAATAGTTATTGAGATATTTATAACTTTCATAATTCTTATTATTAAGTGATAAATGAGCAAATAAACTTAATAGATTTATCAAACAAATCCAGCCAGATTAAACTCACACTTTACTTCCGTGATCTCTCCTTCATATGTCAAACAACAAAAAATTAATAATTCTATCGACATTAACAAAATAGTGCAGGTATTACTTGATAAGTTAATCACTGATTAGGTTAATCGAAGTTTGATCAGTGGTAAAAACAGGGAAGTCGGAGATTTCGTTGACGTTCTCTAATAGCATTAGAAACGCGTGGTCCATGATCTAGGGTACCATCGCGCAACGTCCATCTTAACTCGGCGCCCGGGTGCAGACGCCAATAGGCACTCTCCCGAGCGGCCGTGCGCGCGCACGAGATATCCGTCGTTAGATTTGATTCGGCGGACCATCTCACGAGAGTAGGAGAGAGCCCGAGTGCGTCGGCGCCGCTGTCGGAATCGCTCTCTATTGGCTGCTCTCTCCTAGGAGAGAGGCGAGGTATCGTACCGTCTCGCTCGCGTGAACCCGCCGTATCCTAGACGAGAGCGCTGAGAGGGGCCAGGCGCCGTCTTCGCGACGACCTTGGGTTTAAACCGCGATGCTGAGTCTCTAGGTCATCGAAAAGGCAGACGACGACGTCGCAGAACGAAAGAGCGGTAAGAATATTAAACGTAATGATCGGGAACGAAACTCGCGCGCGTATACCCACAAAGTACTTTAATTACTCTACCTCGGTGACGAGGTAGCAAAAAGACCTGTAATTGCGACGCCACTATATCTTGGACATATTCTTGCGCGACGGAAAAATGGCTTTGAAAAGTAGGCTAATTATTTTTGCAATGCTAGACAGCTCATTCGATTGTTTCACGCATCGCGATATTCGACGCTCAAATTTTCTTTCTTGCTAATATCAAATCAAATTCAAGATTAGATCTTAAGTCTCATCGTTTTGAAAATAGCTTTCAATAAAACTTGGTCTTAAAGGACAATTTTCCGTAAAGATTTCATATCTTCAGTTTTTTTTTTCTAATGTGAATTTGAAGCTTTCAGTCTTTCAAGGCGCCTTACGTTTGCGTTTCGCAACGACATTTTCGCGTGATGCGCAGTATATTTGCCCGGCGTATCGTCTGGAGCGAGACGATTAACGTGTTGCACACCTTGCGGAGATAACGTTTGTGATTAGCTCATGGCGGTTAGTTCGTTTCCGAATGAGCGCGGTTAATCACGATCAGCCGGCCGAGTCATCAACTGCGCAAGGGCTTTCATTAGCCGCCGTTATCGTCACCTCCGCCTCGTTATATACCGGATAGATAATCCTCGGTAATTTGTGACGCAACAACGTGCATATAAAATTGAAAACGGGGAGGTCCGAAAGTAGATTGCAGCAGCTCGTGTTAATCGCGCGCGCCAGTCTTAACAAGCTTAAACATGGCGGTTTATTGCGATAAAAACGCTCTTTTAAGAAGTATTACTTTTAACACGAGAGAATTGTAGCAACAGTACAAACAGCTGTTAGTTTTGACAATTTTAAAGATTCGAAGCTTCGAAGTTTAATGCTTCGAACAAAATATTTGCAACATAAGCGACATAACTGCAACATTAGAGTTCGGATTTTGTCATATAATTTTATAAATGTATATTTATTGCGGTATTATTGCTATTATATTATATAAAATAATTGTATAATTTTGATTCTCTTCAAAGCTTCGGAGATTGAAGTATCGAAGCTTCGAAAGTTCGAATATCGAAGCCTTCGAAGCAAATCACCAGCTATCTAAAAAAAATGGTTGTTTTAAAAATTTTCGTAAAGGGAGCGTACAAATCTTGGTGGAGCCGCTGTTAATCTTGAAAAGTGGCTAATATTCAATTCGACGTTTCGATTCGAATCAATTGAATTATTCATTGCGATCGTGTTCTCGTGACAGAAACGCGAGGCTAGCTCGCTCACGGTGACGTGAATCGCCGCATAGATCACGATCGAGGCATTCTTCTTTTTCTTCTTCGCTTCTCCTCCCCCCACCCCCCGCGTCTCCCGACCCACCGCGGCGCGCGATGAATGTATATGCGCGTATATCGTCGCACAATGCAGACGAAATTAGCATCGCAATGCGCCGCTGCACGCTGCTGCTGCTGCTGCTGGAAAACTGGGTAAACAGCTGTGCGAACAATGCGAGCGCGCTGCGACTTCCTTCACCTCTGCCTCGCCACTCGCCACCACGTCGCTCTTCCCTCTTCATTTTTCTTCACTTCGTTTCTCCGCCCCTCTCAGTCACCTGCCTGCACTATGAGGCCTGCATGACGACGATTGCATCGAGGTTACGGATACGAGCGTGACCGAGAATGTATTCATTCTGTATTCATCCACAGACCAAGAACTCGGGTTTCCCGCAAAGGATGCATTGTGGGTTTCTCGAGAGTAGCCGACAAGTAATTATCGATAGTTCGACAAGTAATTTTCGATTTGTACCAATATGGTGATTAACAGAAACAGTAAATCATAAAGACATCACGAGAGATTTGCATTACAATGCCAATGGGTAAATGAACAACTTAAGGGGTTACATACCTTTGTCTCGCGTGCAAGAAATGTATCTTCAGGAATTTTTTTTCAGTAAATAACACAGTAATCAATGCATTTTCTTATTTTATTCGTTATATATTTAAGTGTATATATATTACAAATTAATTAAGTTTTACAAAAAAAATATAACGTTTATAGCAAGTTGCATATACTCCAATGCATGATTAAAAAATATATCAAATAAAATAAAATCCTGCATTGATTACTATATTATTTACTGACAATGCGAAAAAATGTTTAAAGATAGCCATTTCTGGCCGCGACAAATTATGTAACCTTTTAATAAAGATATAATAAAAAGATATTTATTATATCATAATAATATAATATAATATCGATACAATACTCAGTAAATAAGTAATTAATTTTTCAATTATAGATATTCTGCAAAAATTATAATCTACGTATGCACGTATATTTTACTTGCTGTAGTGTAGATGCTCACTTCTGTGTAGATTACATTCATAAATTTATTGTATCTATGAAATATGCTATATATATTGACGTATTGAAAGAATTAGATTAGACGATCGGACAATTAGAAATACAAAACAAGTGTTGCAATCTTTTTAGCATATGTTCCATGCTTTGTTGGAACAACTCCGAGCTGTTACGGAAAGGTAAAAATATCGCGTAGTACAATTGATAAAATACCAGTCGCCAGTTGCGATATGGTGCAATTTGTAACGAAACGGCGCACAATTACGGATAGAAATAATGATATGCGAGAACAGAAACTTGCAATTAGACCGCAAATGGTGCTAAAGTGATACTTATCACATAAGTGAAAAAACCCTGTAAAGCGCATTTTTTTTAAAAGCCTCAAATTGAAATTTTTTTTTTAATAATAGTCAAAATTATATATATATATATTGTTATAATTATATATAATTATAATAGATAAAGCTTGAAAAATAATATTTAATGTATATATCATTGATAAAAAAAGAGTTTTAGAATATTATATTTGAAGCATCATCTATAAGTTTGAGTATTATTACTATTATTAAAAAATTATTTTTTTCTTTGAATTTTTAATGTATGCATCCTTTTCGTCAAGTATCGGTTTATTGGTTGACTGTTGTATGTATATTCGATTGGCTTTCACATCTTTATTAAGTTGTAACTCTCAAGACCTATTTACATTCAATCTACCTCTACTAACAAATGTAAAAATTTTGTTGATTAAGGTAAACATTGGAGCAACTCGATCCTCTCTATCGCAATTTGCAGTAAATTAGCTAAAATGTGAAATACCATAAATTAATGAAGGTGCTAACCAAACAATTTTGTCATACACTCTGTTGCGGAAGTTATTTTAACATTAATAACAGTCATTCGAGAAACGCGCGTGAAATAAGTTTCTTCATTACCAGCGAATAAAAAAAAACATGTGTGGTTTATTATTACTGTAGTCGACATTATAACAATTACAACATAATTAAGGACGCAATTGTAAGTGAGTGTCTTTAAGGACACGCTTATAGAAAATCGCGATTGCTTTCGATATCGCATACGC